CGCGAACGCTTTGCGGACGCTTTGCGAACGGTTTGCGAACGCTTTGCGAACGCTTTGCGAACGCTTGCGGACGCTTTGCGAACATAAACGCAACGACCTCGCGTCGCCTCCTGGACCCCTGGACCCCAACCTTAAAACGGGAACCCTTCTGCTACGCATTCGGGAAAAGATGATGGTAAGAGGAGGGGATAGTTGAGTGGTTATGGCGCTACGGTTCACCTCAAACATCCCACCGCCCACACCTGAATTTTCACCCCTATGCCAGGAACACGCAACACTGAGGCCAGAGCTGCTGGTCCAAATTTTGAGCCAAGAGCGCAGACATTGCGAAAGCTGCCCATCAGCGACTAAGTCCAGCTATTCGGAATGCGATGGTTCTAGGTTGAGGGATCAACCAGTTTGCTTGTAGGATCATGGCTTGAGGGTGTAGACTTCTGTCACCACATGTAGGGCTTCTGCTCTTCAAAAGGGTTTAGACTGGGCTTCCTATCTCTCTCTCTCTCTCTCCACCTCTCGCTCTCCCTCTCCCACTCGGGAGCTCCAACTGCAGCCGCTACGACAACCTCATTTTTGGCACGTGCTACTGTTGCAGGCAAAGTCATTTGATGCTAAAGTGCTAAACTGATTCCACAACAGGGCGGGCTTGCTGGTCTCAGAAACCAACGTTGATGAGGGAAATTAAGACTGCCCACTGAAATCACCACTGCCTCCTGAAACATGATTCCGGAAAGCCTATAAATCTATGAACTAGGCTGCCTTGTCACTCCAGTCTTGGGCCCACAAAATGGCTGCGGCGATTCCACGGCCACAAATGCAAACAACACGCGCAACAAGAGGCGCCCTGATGCTGATCCAGCCTTCCTCATCAATCATGGGATGTGCGCTCCCGCCTCCTTTTCTTGCACGGGCTGCTTTGATGCTCAGCAACGAAAACTGATGTGGCCTAGAGCTACGGCCAAACTGCCAGCCAAAGGACTCCCATGTGCTGATCGTCGCTTAGTAAGTATCATGGCTTCGGGCTCGTGCCGTAGGGGTTGAGCTCTCAGAATCCTGTACCCCCGCGGATTTTACCATGTAAGGATCCCAAGGACCACCCTCACTTTGACAAACCCACGTATGACTAGTCCCCCCCAAAACAGCATGCAGCCGTACTTCTTTCATCATTGCTTGATCAGCAGCACCGTTATTGAATGCGGATTTCCCCTGGCCATGGTCAGTCTTGGAAAACCAGCTTCCTTGGAAAGTTTCTCACAGTCAGGCCCCTGCAGATAACCTAAGACCTTGTGAAGACGCCAGAAGCCATAAGCAAGACCCAGATTTGTGACAAACCCCAGGTTGAGTACGCTAGCTGCTGCTCAGCTAGGAAGATGCACGCGCAAGGTGCAGCTCAGCTGATCCTTCACTGGGCGCAGGATATAAAGAGATTGCTAGGGTCACTGTGGAAGGAAGTCGAGGTGATCCCTGTCTTGTACTTTGTGAAGGAACAGGTTGGCAAGTTGGCCGCTTCAGCAGCACTTGAATGCTACCTTGCCATTTGCTTTGTCGTTGCCGGGGCCCATTACTGTCTGTGCTAGGGCCAAGGGCCAAGTACTATGCAGTTTCCAATTGGTCCTGCAGCATCCTGCAGTCTCGCAACAACCGTAGCCGGCTTTCAGCAAGCAAGGACTCAAGTTTCGGCACATACGCACGGGTTTCCCGTCACAAATCTCAGGAAAAGAGTTGGCAGGGGATAGCCTTCTGCGCGCGTTTCAACAGCAGCTCCTCAAGCACGGCGTGGCCTGCGCCGGGGCTTAGACTTAGGGCATTGCAAGTTTCGGGGTCTGCATTCTGCAGTTACCGACAGGATTTAGAGTTCAGGGTTAGCAGTGCAAGGCTGCGATTCAGGATCGAGAGAACATTCGCATCACAAAAGCCAGACAACCTAACATCTTCATGGGAGCAGAATCCATGCTGAAAGCCAAGCGCTGAATTGGTCAGATTTTCGGCCTGCCAACACTCCTGTGGTCTCAATCTTCAGGTCCTTGCGACTCGCCAGCACTCCTCAAATAGCTACTTCAGTCTTGATAAGTTCACATGTCTTGCATGCGGATGCTTGTCTGATGCAAACCTGAGTCCTAGATCACGCATAAGGGCTTGGATCCATGCGCGGAAAAGGATCACTGGAGTGTTGGAGGGATGCGCGCGGGCAGTGCTAAGCGTTGAAACAGCCGTCGTCAGGCCGAATGCAGGAGTCAAGGAACCAACGCGATGTTATTCCACTCGCGTGGTGTGTTCGTGCGGCGGGATATACCAGAGGAGGAGTGCAGAACGCGCAGAGCACCGTCTGCAGGCCTGATTCGGTTTCCGTCACGGACAATTTACCTCAGTGCTAGTGATTCACCCTTTCCAATCCCCTTCCACATGCCTCCAGCCCAAGGAAAGCAGCCTGGCAAAGCTTCACTTCGTAGCATGGGAACTGCAGCTCATGACTAAGAACTACCATCTGTATGCTTTTATGCCTGTCCCCTGCCTTAAGATGACCCACATTGAGGTGAGGGGGAGGTTTTAAAAACGAGTGCCTTTCATGGACCTGAGGTGGCCAAGGGATTGCTCGCCAATTGCAGACCTAATTACTCCTAATGTCACTGCGTAAGGCTTGAAGAGAAAGTTGACCGTGCAGGATATTTGTGGACATTCGCAATGTTCATGTCAGAAGTCACTGCCTCAGACGCCACCAACAGAAGCACAACTGCAGCGTCTCACAGAAGAAACGGCCACTCTCTGCAAACTGCCATATGAGAAACTTGAAGTTTTGCAGTTCGTCAGCATAGCTATCCATGATGGGCAGTTCCTCCTACAGATGGCATGAAAAACCTGAATACACAGCTTCCTCAACCAGGAAATGTCAAAAGCCTCGCGATCTCATGTTGTCGAGGAATTGAGGCTCCTTCGACAATCTTCGCGATGTCTCCGCCAGGCCCGGCGTGACGACCCTCCTTGCACGACAGGTAATACCGGTACACCTTTCGGCCCTTGGAACTCAAAAAACTATTCACTCACTCACATCATTGAACCCTAATCCATACCCGGAACTTTCCTCAAGCCCTGCTTCCGAGGCTGATCAACAGTATAGCGCATCCTGCAGAAAGAGCAGCGCCACTTTTGCAGAGGCTCCGGTAGGCAATGCCTTGACATCACTCGGCTTCTGGTGGTAACGCCATAAAAGAAGCTTTGTCGGGCCCATGTAGGACCAGCTAGGTGCTCTACGTAGACACAGCGTTGATTTCGAGATCTGTTCAGATAATGCAGCGGCAGAAAGTACAAGGATTAGGTTTTGAGGTGGTTCATGACCGCTCAGACAAGCCGTACGAGCGAGCACTACTTAGATGCCACAAAAGATATTTCGACAACTACCATACCCCTAGTCACTCACGCCTTACAAACCCCTAGGGAATCCCAGAGCATCCAAGGCGGCTTTGTGTTGTCGTGCCTGCTTCTTGTTGTTTCTTACTGCATCCCACGTGTTTTCAGTCTTCGTTACCTCATTCATTTCTTATTTCCTCAACTAGGACTGGATGCTATGTTGTGTCGCCTTGCTGTTTTTCTTTGCTGTGTTTCATTCGAGCATTGATTGTTTAAGGTGAAAGTCTTTGTACTAAGATAGTCTGAACTACGCAGGTGGCTGTTTTCCCCGCAGAACAGACTACGCAAACATGCTCTTGCTATCGTGCTGCCTACGCGGCATTCCTGTGCTATTGACAATTCTATGCAGCACGAACCTCTTTTTGCTCACAAAACATACGAAGTACGCAGACTACGCGGATGATCGCCCGATCTGGCATACTGGGCAGTCTTCGATATTGTGCTCCACCCTTAGTAAACCTTTTTGTGCAGGCCTTCAGGGCATCCTCCAGCAGAGGCCCATTGAAGTCGTACTCAGGACCTCCAAGACCAAAGGCTTCCAACCAACAAATAACAAATGACCGCCACTAGGCAGAAATAGTGTCAAATTGGTGTGAATGGGGTATGTGAGGAGATGAGTAGTCAAAACCAAGCTTGGCACAGGGCTGGGCAAATCAGCAACCAGAAGTAGGTGCTCGCCTGACTCCTTCCTGACTCCAGAGTGCAAGGGCAAGCGGGAGACAGACGACACAGGAACGTCAAAGGGAACGGCTCAAAACCCAACCACTTACAAAAACCTGAAAAGCTTAAATAGATGATAGGATCTCCATAGATTCAACATTCTAACTTCAAAGTAGTGTTGGACCCAGAAAAGTGAGAACCAACATGGCAGCGACCCTGAAACATGGCAGTCCAAGAGAGATGAGCGCCTTACATCCCTTCAACTAAGGGCACTTCTCAATGTCATGGGTCCCTTGGTCGTAAACCTCATATTCCGCACTACATTGGTGGTCTGAAGGAAATCGAAGCTGAGCTCACGCAAACTTAGACCAAATCCTGAACACGGAAGTTTATATTCTTGAAGCTCTGGTCGCGCAATTTGAGGTGCACGGCTGTCACTGTTGCAGTTGTAAGGATACCTGCTTGGAACCCTGTTGCAAAAAAGTAATGTTGTCCTGATACAACACCCCACGTGTTTGGGATCCTTACCAAATGATCCGAAGCCACAGACCTCGACCCTGGCCTTAAGTGTATCCCCTAAGAAAACCTAAAACCCAGACAGCTTCACTCCCCAAGTCTACATCTTGCCACACTTTGAAACGTATAGCTCTGTCGGCAGCCTTCGCGTCGTTCCATGCAGCAGGCTGTCACTGCGCGGCCCAACTTCACCTGAAGACTTTGTGGTTCATGGGTTTTTCGGAGGCTAAGTTAGTGGGACTATGAACACGTGCGTTCATGGCCGACTGGGCGTTCCATAAGCGGAAACATTCACGCGCCCAAGCCCAATTCGCTTGTTGAAGAGAGAGCTCCTACAATGACAAGGGTACACCATGTAGCCTGCATGCAAGTAGGGGCGCGTCAAGTCACAGCCACATTGAACCTGAAATACATTAATCATAACCTGAACATGTGGCTTCAATCACTACACAGGCCGCGAGACCACCACTTCAGCAGGTTTAACAGTTGTCAGGTGCTTCTACGTCTACTCCACCTATTCAGAACAGTCACGATGCTCTATTGGGAGTTCCTCGAGATGAGCACCCTCCCCTGGATTCCATCATCCCTCCATAATTCTGATGCAGGCCCCAACTGGACCCATCGCAATGGAATGTCAAGAGAAGACATACTGATGCGTACGTAGAGCGAAGAGATGAAAGGAAATCTTATCCTACTTCCAGACAAGTCTCGTGTCCATGAACCGCAGCAATCATATCCCTAACTCCTACCTACAAGAATCTCCAGCAACAGCATCCGGACTCCCAACCTCGAGAAACCCCCACATTCTTCTCCGAGCCCAGGCCTCGAGCTCCGACCTCACTGCCTCGCGCGCAGCCGCCACACGCGCTGCCGGCGAGCCGTGGTCGCAGAGGAAGACATGCGTGACCCCTGAGGCAGGCCTGGCAGCAAGCACTGCCACGTAGTATCTCCAGACTGCGGGGCGTCAGTCTGTAGCTCCAAGCCAGTTCAAAGAAGTTCAGCGCTTGTGGTATTCGGGTGCAAAAGGTTGAGGGGGCCGGATCCAACAATTTAAGAATCCGTATTGAGGGGACATTTTTCCATGCCAGCCAGCTAAGGTCAAGGTTGCAGGGAAAGGATAGCCAGAGAAGGTGCTTTTGCTACCCTTGAAGGGGCGCCTCAAATCCTCCAGCACCTCTCGCAAGAAACTCCATCGGGTAAGGAAGGCACCAGGTCTCGACGCAAGTTTACCCACGTGAGCCAAAGTAGGAATGCGATTTTCCGAGCCGTTTGACATGGCCTGAAACAACAACGCATTACATAGCAAAACCCTCGCGCGAGCCTTTTTTTGTTCCTAATGGAATCTCGGTTACAGCTGGTGTGATGTTGTTCCCAAATCTGGGGCTGCGGCGTCAAGTCTCCCAGCTTATCGGTGAGCATTTCAGCCATCTCAGTTGCTCCAGTGGCCTCCGCCTCAGGGTGCGAGAGACTCGACTTGAAGGAAATAGGGTGAAGCGAACTGCGCAAATATTCTCAGGAGCGATGACGGTGCTAGCGACCCTTATGAGGGTATCGGTTTTGGATCAAAACTCAAGAAGTTTTGTGCTGCTGCAGCAAGGGTTTTGGGGCAATTTTTCCGGCCAGCATCATCAGCACAATTGGGGTCTGTGCTTCTCACTATTTTACATGTCAACCTACCTATGGGGTTTGGGAGGGATGCTGGCTCCTCATTTGTGTGGTATCAAGAGGGAAACAGGGGGCCAGACAGGCCCCACGATGCTTCTAAGATTCTTTGGGGCTACTGGACCAAAAAAGCGCTGCGAACCCTCGGTTTTTACAGGCCTCTTGCACGCCAACACCTTGGAAGCCCCTATGCTACCATTGCACTTTTAATCTAAGTACTTAGTATGGGAAAATGCTGCTTCTGAATTGCAAAGCTTGAAATGTGGCCAAAATATGGTAAACTTGCAACACAAAACATGTTCACAGCGCCGTCGATGGCTTTTCTTGTTTTTTGTTTCACCCTTCCTGGTCCCAATTTAACCCACACTGGAATTCCAATCCTGCTGACGATGCTTGCGTACGGGGCAAGCACAAGCCCCCTCCATAAGACCATTATCTGCACAATTGGGGCTATATCTTGGGAGATACTATTAAGATCCAACTTAGACAGGTCCGGCGAAAGATTCCACAAACACTCCGCACAAGATGTGATGAACAACCTTCAAGCCCCGACCTCCTAACTTCCAAAACCGTCAACCCAAAACGGATGGCTTTTGTTGCCACGGAAAGCCGAAGCAGCAGAACACACCACTACCCCAAACCAAGTCCCTCGAAGCCGATGCGTGCATTCCACGCTGTGATCCCGGAGCCTTGTAGATTGCAGGGCACAAGCACACAAGGCTTGGCGCAATGTCTACCTCAGCTTGACATCTTCCAAGCTCGATTTGGAAAATGTTCTGATTCAGCCCCAGCCATTAAGATTTACCCTTGGAGCTTTGGATTCCCCGCCTGAACAACCTGACCGTATGCTCTTCCTTATTCTATGGAATCCAAACTGTCGTAGACCCACCTCGCCAATGCAGGCCAAGTGTATAAGGCTGCATTCAAGGGCGCAAGGGAAACCAATTGCCTCCTAATATGGAAGGGCAATGATAGCGGTCGGCTACTGCTGCTGCTGCGGCGCCGGAGGTTGAGAACTATCTTGTCAATGGCCCAGTGCCGTACCCAGAGCTACCTCGACTCTCCCAACCAACTCCCTTGCGTCTGTTGCATAGCCCAACATATCCCTAGGACCCTGAGGATGCCACACGGTCAGCCCTTAGCACCTGCAACTACCCCAACCCCAATCACCCTGCTTTCGAACGAGCTGCCTGCAGGTCTGACCCAAGGGCTGCTTCCGGCATAGTCTTGGTCAAAGTGTCACTGGGACCAATGAGGAGGGGCAGCAGAAGAACCTGAAGGGCAAGGGTGGGAGGCCTGAATTCAAAGGGTAAATGCGAGTGTACAGTATTTGTGTGTGTGTGTGCCATAGGTTTGTGTATCTGACAAGGGTTCACAGGCCAGGGGCACCAACAGGTGGCAGGAATCCGCAGCGAAACACAAGACTTAAGTTGGTGTTGGATCTAGAATCCCGAGGCGGCGTCCTGAGTAAGTTGCACCATGTTCATCGCGATGCTCTCAAATTTAATTGAAGCGTTCAGGTTGTTTTGCAGGTGAGGGCTTGTAATGTTCCAGAAATCAGAAAGGTTCAGGATCTAGGGCCTAGGGCGAAGTCAAACTGGGAAGTGGGGCCTGCCTCCCTTTCAGCAAAAAAACCGTTTGTCGTTTATGAGCCATCCCAACTTCAAAAGAGCAGGCCAGAATCGGGGTCACCATCCATTTTTCCACTACAGGTGACCCATACTCGGACCTGCAGCACTGGACAGCCTGGCCTCACCCTACCTGACCTCAAGGGCATAGCAAAGCTAGCTAGGCGTGCATCCACACTGAAACACGACGGCCAAGCCAGATTTCAAGCTGATTTGTCGGGCCTCACCTTGAACCCTCAAAGCCCTACGCCTCCAGAAAGTTCAAAGCTTAAACCCCTCAAGCTCCAGAGCTTCAGCCGCGCAAAGCCTGTCAACCCTCAAGCAAGGGAAAACACTGAACATACTCAAGTCCTAACCTATCCCCAGACCGTCAATGCCTCCGCCCAACCACTAACCCTGAGCCCACGAGGACCACCGTGCAAAGTGAAAATCAACAAGCTGGAACACAGAAACCGGACACCTCGGACTCCTTTCCTTCTTTTCGAAGCTTTGCATTGACTTGAACAGCAGTCTTCACATGCTCCGGCGTGTTTTGTGGGCAACCTCAGATCCCGAACCAAAATCCTTTTAGCTTGGACCCCAAACTCTAAACGGTGCCTCCCAAACACTAAACTCTGAGGCCAAGCGCCCCCCCGTTTGCAAACCCTACACTTCCGCACACCCTACGCCCCAATGCTTGAATCCTGAAACTCCCATCCCAGAGCCCTTCGTCCCCACCCAAAGGAGCCCACGGAATAAGAACACCTCAACAGACCGCGCCTTGGCTTGGCTACCCTCTTCCTCGGCGACACGCTTCAGCCAGGGACCAAGGACCTGCAAACTGGGCTCTCCCACGAGGGGTTGAGAGGTTGCGGGCCTAGGCTTTGGGGTTCTTTAAGGAATACTTGGCAATCCCCAGCCCCTGCTGACTGTTTATACCAGCGCTTTTGCGGACTGGGGTTACGTATCAACTGCACAGCCGGGGTTGCGGGATGAAGGCTTAGGGATGCGTAGACAGGAAGTCGATAGTTTTGACATATGTGCGCTGGGAACTTTCTCTCAAACATTTCAGGTCCATTTTAAATAACCTGCAGTACGAGGTCACCCCACTATGCCGTTTCCGTGTGTAGATTGAACGCTCCAACTGTGCCGAGCACCTCCCTTCCGTGACTTCGGGAAGGCGGGCGAAGGAGCTTTTGGGGAGTTGTTGGGCGAATTGGCTTCTGGGCTAAAGATCTGCAATCCTGCCGGGCTAAAGAACCAGTGGGAGCCTAGCAGCTGATGCCCTGTCTTGTTATATCCCTATTGATCTTGCTATGGCTGCTACCCTCCTTCATCCGCTTTGAGGAGCCCCGGCTCTGGTAAGCCCGCAGCCCAAAAAAAATGGTCTCTGCCCAGGGAAACCTATCCAGTGCCCTAGCGGGCAGGCTCTAAATGCCAGGCAGCCTCGCCGGGCTTGCCATCCAGCTTTTCCTTTGAGATTTTGTCCTTGATCTACTTTTGCGGGCATGGGGCTTTGAAATTTCGGGTGCAACGGTTGGACAGGGGCTCGGGCCCCCTTCAGCTAGGAAGGTAAAAGCTAACACAAGCTCTAAACCTCACAATGCCTCAGCTACTTGAGCAGTAATCGCCTGATTAAGTGGAGCTTTGTGCAGCTGTTTCTGAATCTGTATGAGGCTCACGAAGCCTACTGTATGTACGCACATGCACACCAAACAGGCACTGAAGCTGACATCTTGGCACAACCAAAAAAGCCTGTTTGGAAGTCATATTACCTGTGTCTGGCTACGAGCCTCAGTAGAAGCGGGGTCCTTGAAGGGCCTGAAGCTCTGCAGGAGTCCAAGAAACTCGCAACAAGCAATCCTAGTAGAAAACCCCGGTGTTGAGCGCTTGCAGTGTCTTACCATTGTCTGAAGTCAATGCTTAAGAATTCGCAAGGACCCAGCTGTCAAATTGAACGCACATTCCAACAACACAGTCCGGCAAAAAGAGCTTTTTGATGCAGTCTTCATTGGCATTGAGGTAGACCCAGAAAACCAGTCGAATCACTACCGCCAAGAAGCTGCAAAACGTGCCGAGACTGCCTGGAAGCGCCAGGCAACTTCAGCCACCAGCAGATTTGATGCCATCAACGCTACACCATGAACATTAGCCTCATCATAATCATAGACATTCTCTGACTACCTCTTTTCTTCTACAAGATACCGCTCTCCCGAATTGCTCGGCTTTGATTAAACAAGGGGGCTGGGGGGCAGTGCAGCTGTATCATGAAGGCAAGCACTCAGGGCTGTAAAGAAGGGGGGGTTTGGGGGGTCGCAGCACCCCGCATTTGCAGACATTGAAGATGATTGAGAACCTGTCCTGTCTGGCAGACAGAGTGCCTACGGCCACATCTAGCCCCTTGTTCGTCTCGCATTGCCTTTTTTATGCAAATCAGAATAACCATGCAGGCAGTAGAGTGTGAAGATGTGCAGCCCAAAGCCAAAAGGTATGTCACCTCGCAGCTAAGGGCTTGCTTAAACCTGTGGAGAACTCGATTGATGTCGTGTTCTCTATTGCACCCAGTGCACACGACTCTTTTCACGACCAACAGGGATTGCAGTCAACATTGCTCACCTACGATAACAATGATGTCTTGATACCCATAGCAAGCAAGACATCACAAAGGCTAACATGTCACTTACAGGTGCACCAGCCAGCAGCAGCAACCGTGGCAGCAAAGGTCGTGCAGAATGCTGTGAGCAGGTGTCTGATAACGATTTCTGAAACTGTTCCCCACGCTTCTGAGCACTTCTTCCTGATGTCGCCTCCACCGTCCAGCTCCCACGGCGCTGTAGCGAGGCCGCAAGGCGCCGCAATGATTTCGTGGCCTCCCGGTGATGCTTCTGTAGGCCGACTGTAAGCAAACTAGGCTGTCACGATGATGATTATGACTAGCCCACGACTTGGCACTCTTCCAGACTTGAAATAATTTAAGTGCGGAAGGCGCCTGGGGAATGAGGAGCATATGCAGAGTTTAGAGAATTGGGCAATACAAGATTTTAGGGCATTTCCGTCAAGAGATTCAGGCGCAACGTCTCTGGCGGGGCCCTGGCTTTCATAGACAGATGCTTTGATGAACACCTGCTTGTAGACGAAGAACCTGCGTAAACAAGGGCAATGATGCGCGTATGGCCTGCAAAGGTCCGTACATATTCGCCGGGTTCCATTGCTGGGGGCTCTGAATGCCAGAATCCCCAAACAAATTGGGACCATAAAGTTTTCACATCCAATCGCTCAAGGTGACAAAGCCTGGCCTCGGGCTTCAGCGAGCCATTGTCCACCAAGGCTACGCGTGTCTTTTTCTGCCGCCCACGGCGACCCTGTCGGAAGGATCAAGGTGCAAGATTATCAGATATGATCTACTCCTGGGCAAATTCCATTTCTTGTGAGGTTGGGCGGGGCCGCTACGGTTGGCATAGCTACTGTGATTGCGGCTGAGTATGGCCCGTTTAGCACCACGGCACCCTGGGGTTAAATTGCAAGAGCCAGCCGACATGTCCTGAGTGCAAGTCCGCTAAGTGATGGAACCTTGGATACAACTTGGGTATAGCTGCAGTCACTGGGTGATCAGGATGATATGACCTGCCCTCAGAGCATTATGGGAAGCCAAAGCCTATCCCAAGTCCAAAGTCAAACTGAGACCCCCTCAGCTACATCTTCTCCTCTAGGTATATGTCCTAGTCTAAGTTCATGATGTGGTGCAGCCACATCAAACGAACCTCAGGACTCTGGCACCACAAGTGCGGACAAATTCATTCATCAAGTGTACGACGTGGAAGTAGATTTGTCATCATCTTATTGCAGGGCTCAACTATGTTGAATGTGGATACTTGCTCGGCAAAAACCGCGCAGCTGTCAAGCAGACCTTCTCAGATAAGCAGTGACAGTTTACCATCAATTCAACTCAGACTTCCGCAAACCCAGAGAGTAAAAATGAAAAGTAGCCACATCAAGGCCTCACACCCTGACAACACTCAGACTCGGAGGTCTCAGCCTCTAAGCTCCAGCATTACAGACGCCCTCAAGCCCCACAAATTCGCTCAAGTGTGCCTGCCCAACACGACGTGCCAACGCGGCAGCAACCGCAAGAAGCAGCCCCGCAGCAGCGATCCGGCCCCGATCCATGGCTTGGTCAGGAGGGGCACAAAAAGCTGTCTGAAATTGAGGATCTCTAGTGAGGGCCCTCCATTTATGATACTATCTTACTATCTTTGTTACTTGAATCTGATTACTATGAAAACGAATGACAACAAAAAGAAAGCAGTAGCAATCTCAGTTGTAAATGAATGTTTCTGGGGCGCCTGCCTAAGCACACCAGGCCAACTATGAAAAGCACGTCGAAAGTACCGAGCCTTGAAGTGGTACGAAGGCAACCCGAGGTTTCCTACATCTGTGCAGGAGCATCAGGTCACACTGTCAAGCGTTGGGCTTCCAGCTTCAGTAGGAGTAGCAAACTCATATTCGAGCTGAGTCAGAGCACGCCCGTGTTCTAGCGGCAGAGTTGCAACCATTGACGCTTTGCGAGAGCAGTAGCACTAGAAGTTGCAGAACGACATTGGTGGCCCAAGTCCTGGGGAGGGACAGCAGCAGCAGCAGCAACAGGGCAACCAGCGTTGGCAGCAGCATCAGCAGCTCTCAACACCATACATAGCGTGAGTAACAAGGAGCCATGCCAGCAAAGGAAAGCCGACGAGTAGAACGCCTTGACTATGACAGCATGTCCCGAAGGCGAAGCCCCAGCACCGCCGCAATGATTCTTAAGCGTTCCTTACACCCCAACTCGATTTTGAGAAATTACAGACAATCCACACTGTCAAGCTCATGAAGTATGTGACATCCTTTGAAGTCACAACCCGAGGCGCTACATTGCTACATGTCTTCCTGGATCGAGTGAGTTTGGCTGACCTGCTTTTGAAGGACTTTATTTCGGTGGGCGGGGCAGGTGAGGCCAAAGCTGGCTGTGACCTTGCTTGTTGCGAAGCCCGTTTCAGTGCTCACCAACTATGTGCCCAAAGATCTGAACATAAAATTGGACCAGCCACCAACAGCCAATCGGAACGGAAATCTACCCACCCTCCACAATTTCCCTGAAGGGACCTCACCGGAACCTGAGCCGCATCTGCTGGTTTTTAAGGCCGCAAAACGCCTAACTTGGTAGCACAGGGCATCCATTGTTCAGCATGGTAGGAGAAGCATCACCTGGTTGCAGCTCGCAGTATCACCGTATGCCGCTCAGCTGCCTCAGCAGTCTTGACTCAGAAGCCGGATCTGAGCCCCTTCCTCTTTGATGACATCTTGCTGTCGGATTGGGTGATCGCTCTCTGATGAAGACTGCAGCCAAGCAAGAGCAGGAGGTCGGCGATGGTCGGCGGGCAAATTCAAGATGACAACGGCAAGTGATCGGAGGCCCTGGCGTTGGGACGTAGCGAGCAATTTCAAGTTGATCGAGGGGATGTCCGAATCAACGGACACACGCCACTTCTGAACTCACACGCACTGAAACGAATGACGCAAGAACGTCTGAGTTGTGCTGGCCACCGACGGCACACTGCTGCTGACCTGAGTCCGTTCTTGGCACGTATGACAAGCGTTGTCATGGGCTTTGTCCCGAAAAGCTGTGAAACAGTGAGCCCCGAATCTAGGAGATCCCTTCTCATCCTGCATGAGCACAGGCTGCATCATCATTAGCATGGAATACCTGTAACCCTCATTTCTGACAATCCCCCATTGCATCCATACACAATCCCTATACGGTAAAGCCCTCTCGGCTCTACATGAAATGTAAAGCCCCAAACCCCGCAAAACTGAACCTCTGTCTTGCATCCAAGCCCTCCCCGGGCAGCCTAAACCCCCACAACCCCATACAGCCCGGAGTGGACCAAGCAGCGCTCTGCGAGCAAGAGAGTGGCAACACCAGGTTGATCAGCTCCAAGCCCGGAAGTTCTGATGGTGACAGATCATCAGTGAGAGCCTTGCTGGCGATTCAGGGCTTGCAGGTGTGGGGTTGGGAGTTTAGGTAGGAGAGCCTGTTGGACAACACCGCGTGGATCCACGTGGACATTTCTGCGCTACCTCTCCCAGGTTCTTGATGTAGCCAGGCTCAAGCTTATGAGAATATGTACCCGGAACGGGACCGTGCTGCGACACTCACGCACCCGTCCAGCTTTCTTGACAGCAGCTTTGGAGTCTTGAGGCCCAAGTGTTTTGGGTATGCTACACAACAAAAGCTGCACGGTTTGGGGTTGAAGGTTTTAATGCAAGCGCCTTGATTGAGGAAGCTCAATGCTCACAAGGCCTAAGCCTAAGCCCTCCATCCTGAAGTTCAAACTCAAAACCTTAAACCCCACCCCTCAAACCCTGATGTTGTAAATTGTAAGCTCCTCACTCCAATGTCAACCCCACTCCTCATTGGGCTTCCCAGGGGCGGTCAATGCCCCCTTCAGAGCTCTCAGGGAATTCTCCGCGCGACGTTGGGCCACGGCGTAGGGCAGAGAGGTCTCAAAGGTGCCGCTATCCTTTAGCTGAAGCGGGGCCCCACTAAATCAGCTAAGGGCAGGCCCCGATATCTGGGGACCCCCAACCCCAAACACTCACGCAAATAGCTGATGGAAGATTCGGAGCATCCATTAGGAGGAGTGGTATTGTCAGTTCCGACACGCGACAGCGGTGGCAGTCCAATAGAGTGCGCTTCAGGGCCCTGTGGACGGGCGCAGGGACCTGCGGGATGCTTAAGGTTCAGAAGGGTTTAGCAAGTTTCTGGGGCGCGGGACCTACATTTCCGAGCATATTTGGGTCTTCATGCTAGGTTCACCTTCCATACGGAGAGGCCAGCTCTTGAACAAAAACCCATCGTCTGACAAGGCCACTCGAACTTCTTTTCTTAATCCCATGTGGCAAGAGAAACTTTGAGTAGGACAACCTTGGCACAAATAACTTCTGGACTCTTTTGCACGATGCTTCGCAAGTAAGTACCTTCTTCGCATGGCTGGGCTTGTGCACGAGACCCTAAGTGTTGAAGTTATGTAGACACTTGCGTAGTACATGAGACTTAGGGGCATGAGGGACTTGAACTGAAGCCGGAGAAGGATTCCATGAATACGTAGGGCCAAACTCTTTATCCAGATGCAGGTGAATAACGGAAGTATCAACTTTGAAGACGTGTAGACCCGGGCAAAGTGTTGAAGTCATGCGCACTTCCAGAAGCCAGGCGACCAGCCTCCACTTTCCTTCACGTCAATCTCAAACCGGAAGCTCTATGCCCCAAATCTGAAGCTATTCACCCTCAACCTGCATCCCCGAAGCTTGGACCCAAACTCTCAATCTCCACAAACCATGGATGCCAATGTGTGATGTCATCACCTCATCTGCTGGCGCATCAGCAGCGACGAGCAGGTGGAAAGCAACTTGCACCTGACCTCCAAGATTTGAATGCCGGGTAACGAAATAATCACCTGGCCAGGGGTTGTGCTTGGTTGCGGAAGGTTGCCCACAGTAGCAGCTTGTACATCATCGCTGAAATACATGAGGTGGCTGGTTCACGTCAGTCAAGGTAGTTGGAAGGAATACACGGCTAGCAACGGGAAGTCACATCGTTACTAATTGGCGGATAATTTGAAGCATTAGTTGCCCTGACAGTATGTAAATCCGAATCTGAGGCGTTCCACTTTTTGGCTGTTCTGTCGCATAACACAAGAACCACTAGTTTTCTGCATGCACAACAGAAACCATTGGTTTGTTGGGCCCGCTACGAAAGGAAACCCAAAACCGATACCAAGCATGTTGCAAACCCCAAATCAAGGGCGTCCGAGCCACCAGCTCGCAAAGGTCCATGCTCTTCCTGTGACTTGACTGCCTCAGGCAGATTGGCTGAGGGTCTCCTGGAAGGAGTTCCGGGGTCGATGTGGGGATCATGCATGTGGGGGTATACAGACGAATTCTTATGGCATCCCTGCATGTCCAGGGGTTTACCATCAGACTGAGTAATTGCCTGCTGTTGAGGTTGTAACCCCACTCATGATACCCACAACTAGCCTGATACTGGGTACGCTGCTGTCAAGTTCAAAGACACCCTTTTGCACCCAGCCTGGAAACCTAGAATCCCTAGACCATCGTCCCGGAATCCCAACCCTCACCTGCCCAAGCCCTAAACCTTCATCCCTAATCCCTTAAGGAGTGTGGATGGTAGGCAAGCCTGGAGCTGCTCCCTCAGGGGACTGAAGTGGAAATCACTTACCTGGGTATGGTTTGGCTTCGGGGTTCGAGGTGTAGGTGACTGGAGGGCTGAGGTTGCAGGTTTGCCGCTTCAGGATTTGGGGTGTAG